CGATCCAATCTTTGAAGCCTTTATAGAACTGAACATCCTTCTTTTTTGATTTAAACAATTTTTAGATGAATTTAAGAAAATCTTTCAATTTATAACACACAGGGTTTTATTAAAATTCATCTTAATAAAAAGCCAAAACTACCCAAGCACCTATGTAAGTGACATATTACTTTATTATAGCTATGACACATGTTCATTGTATTTCTCCAGACTTCTTAAGGAATAAGAACGCACAAGTCCTGACTGGAGCCATAAAACACATTTTCACAACTGTAAAAACCCTTCGTGCCCAGGTACTGCTGGCCACACGAGTGACTGCAGTTGTCCACGGTCTGTGAGTCACACCAGTGAGCTCAGATGCTTCTCGACAGGCCTGCACATTGGACAAACAGAAACCGTGCCTATCACCACGAGCTCCAGGAAATGATTCTAAACATCTCCCCAGCCTTCGTAGATTGTTTGTGATAAGGATGTCATCATCCCCATCTGAACATCCTGTGTAGCAAATGACGACTCCCAGGAGGAGTGGTCCCCCCCTTCCCTGCAGGACGAGCAGGCCACAGCTTGACCAACAGTCGCACGTCACACAGCTGCTCTGCCGCTCAGCTTGGGAGGTCATCTCGCTTTTCCAACAGCCTCGCCCACTGGAGACAGTTCAAGGGAACTATCAAAGTCAGATCCATCCTACTTCTAGGCTAGACGTCCACAGGGTAAAAATACTCCAATTAGCAAAAACCAAGATGATTTTGGTGAAAATCTGGTAATCTTAATGTAAAACATTATATACATGTGTGTGCATTTGAAACAAAAAAAAATGTGAAACCATTAACATTTGTGCTTTAGAAATAACAAAATATAATTTAAGAAAACGTGTATCGCAGCCTTAAGTGAGTTGGTCAAGGGGAGGCCAGGGCTGGGCCGTGGGGCAAAAAGAGCAAAGAGCCAGCAGAAGAGCAAGTTACCCAATGGCAGCAGGGAGCACGGAAAATAAAGAAGTGTGCCGTGTGTATGTATGCTATGCATAAATCCAAGCAAGGAAGCTTTCGATGAGTTAGAGGAAGTCACAGCAATATACTTTCTGTGCCCACAGTTAACTTGATTAGTATCAGAAGAAAAGTTAATGTTTAAACACCCCTTCCCACATCTGCTACTTCCATAATATCTCTACAATTGTCATAAATTAGGAGTGGTATAGGGCAGAGTGCCAATTGTGAAAACAAGTGGCCAGCTTTGCACTCCAAGTTTCATAGTATTTTCTGAGTCAAAGTCATGGAGGCTGCTTGTCCTAACCATGGCACACAGGCACACCAGGAGGGGTTCTGAGCACTCCACCACTGCCTGAGTAACCATGTACAACCAGGCCCCTTGGCAGGGCCACGCTGATGACAGAAGTTAGGAGGCAATTTCCCTCTCCTTAGAAAGAGAACATGAACTCTGCTTTCAGTTGTAACTACAAACACAAGAAGGATACAAGCACCATTAACTACAAGCAGCTGGCATTTGCTTTGTCTTCTGTGTCCCTACTCTGAATGTAACTGTTTCAATAATTCTACTCCCCGCCTTTTAAAGCCAAAGCCCCTGTTTTGTGTGCTTTACTGTACCTCACATAGCGTTCAACTTTTGGATTAGGAATCAGCCCGTAGCTTGCCCACTTTGGCATTTTTATCTCACAACATGTCAGTGAAAGAAGCCAGACATGCAGGTGGCCAAGGTTTGTTCTTTCTCCTTTCCACTTCTGCCATGTAATTCAACCCCTCATGTCATATAGCTGCTCCATCTTGTCTTCCTCCTGTGCAGTCAGGTACATACCTAACAGCTGGGACCTTTACATAGGCTGGAGAACACTAAAGCCTGCAGGCTAGGCTTCATGTGACACTTTGCTAGAAGCTCTATGCAAGTTCAGAGCATCAGCCCACCCAAAACTAAGTTGGTGCCTCATTTTGCAAAAGTCCTTTCAGGCTGGTGTAGTGCTTATAGCAAGTTCAACCACTGCCTGAAGAACCAGCACCTCATAAGGTGAGAGTCCTGGCTGCTTCATTTCTGATCCAGCTCTCTGGTGACGGCCTGGGAAAGCACCAAAGATGGCTCAAGTTCTTGGGATTCTGTAACCACATGGCAAACCCACAAGAAGCTCCTGGCTCCTAGATATGGTTTGGGTCAGCCCCAGTCATTGCACTGTGGCTAGCTAGGGAGTGAACCAGCAGAGAGAAGAATCCAGTCTCTCTCTCTCTGTTCCTGTACCTTTCATACATTTTTTTAATACTCATTGTGCTGTGTTCATGTATCTTTCAAGAACGTCCAGCAAATGTCAAGACAGGATTTAGAAAGAGCTAGTCTTGAGCTCACCCTACCAGCATCAGATTCTTGCCAAAACTACAGACAGAACTGTCATTTCATAATCTCTGGATGCATAGAGGGAATCCCAGAGAGTGAGTGAGAGAGAGAGAGAGAGAGAGAGAGAGAGAGAGAGAGAGAGAGAGAGAGAGAGAGAGAGAGAGAAACAGGAGCTAGGGCTACCTTTCACTTTCCCAGGACTCTGTCATTTCCAAGGGGCAGTGGTCAACTTCTCTTACAACCTTTATTAGGATTGTTATCTCTAATGATACTGACTGCTGATGGTGGCTCTTCTCTCTGGGAAGTATCTGTCCCCAGTGAAGCTATTACTTTGAAATAACCTCAAACTCAATACCAGATTGTCCTGAGCTAGATCATTCTTAGGAAATAGATTCTTTAGAGTTCATCTTTCTGTCTCATTCAGTTCTCCTACTAAAGTTCATTTTGTAGAGTACCAGAGATGAATCACTTGGAAGTCACATTTGCAATCACTTGACAAATAATGGTAGATTTCCTTTTCCAGGACACTTTAAGAGCTGAGCACACACCACTGGACATTGCAATGTCCCTTAACTCAGAGACAAGGATAGGAGAGAGATAATCAGCATGCAGATATGATCATTTCAGATTGTGATAACTGATAGAAAACAAATCATCCTAAAGGCGAGAGACTGATGAGGAGTGATATGGGCTCTCTGTGTTTTTTTTTTTTTTGAGATCTGAAAGAGACACCTGTGCTACCAGTAAGCTGATAAAGATCTTCAGAAAGATGTTTTAGAAAAAGATATGCAAACTCTAAGAATGAGCGTGGCATATTAAAAACAAAGAGACCCAAGGCATCTACATAGGAAACAGGAGCAAAGGGTGAAAGATGACACAAGGGAAGAAGGCCCATCTCAGAGCATGGGGGACACTGCAAAGAATTTTTACTCGGTTCTAGTGGAAAGCCACATGAAGGAGTAAAACCAGATTGTGGTGAAGACAACAGAATGGAGAAAGGCAAGAAGGAAAGCAGTTACACCTGAGGGAGCCGCGGTGGGCTCCTGTCGAGTAGCATGAGAGTTGGTGAGCAATGATCACATAGTATGTCCATGGGTGACAGAATTTGTTCTGGCTGTGGGCAAGATGCAAGAGAAAAAGGAGTTAGGAAATTTTGGTCTCAGTAGCTGGTGCAGAAAATCAGGTACATGTGCTGTCCATTAAGTAGGTTGTATCTACTAAAGTGGGAATGTTGAAGAAGAATTTTTCAACACAGGTGTCTGTGGGAAAGAATATAGAATTGCTCATCTGCTAGATCCTAAGGTCAAAAGTGATCACATCCTCTTGCTAGCCTTCTCATTAAGTTTTGGTTATGAAAGCAAAATTTTGTAAGTGAGAGAGATGTAACTGACTTTCTCCCACCCTCCCCATATCCAGAATAATTGCAGTAATTGTTCATCTTTGGAATTCTCCTTGCAGGTGATTCAAACGACCACCAACGTACATTCTTTTCTGAGTCTCCTTACATTAGCTCATGCTTATCTGGTGTTTTATCCACCCTTAAAACTGACTTCACAGTTCACTTCCTCCAAGAGACAGTCTCGTTCCCACTGCTCTTTCTCACAATAATTTTGTTTCCCCATCACAAAGAGAGGCATGCCCCAACATGAGGATAATTTGGATGCTAAAGGCTTCTTTGAATTCAGTTGTAAAGAGCATCAAATGTAAGTTCAAACAGAAACAGGATTACACTTTATAGCTCTTGTTTGCTAAGACAACAACTCTTTTCATCATTGGCAAGAGCTCTGGAGAGTGGAGATCTAGGATTTTAGGCTCCTGGGTGAGTGGGAACTGTCTGGAATGTTCCATTGCAACAGAGAAGTAGAGTTCAACAGCAGGACCTCTGCTCAAAAGGGCTTCGGGCTTCAACTCCGGCACAGGAGTTGTAGCTCTTTCTAAATGCAACTTTTAGAGGCATCTAATTTCTCTGAGTTTATTTGCATTTTTACAACAGGAAATTAAACCAGGAGCAGAGCTATTCCTATCTATATCCTCCAAGATGGTTTTGTCTTCCACCTGGTTAGAAAAGGTCCAGGATTATGAATGTAACCATTCTATAGCATTAGAAACTGGTGGTTTCTGGTAGCAAAAATATGGAAATTCAGCTTTGTGAATTTTTCATTATTGCTGATAGGGACAATTCACCAGAAGAAGTGAGGAAGACTACCTTAGCATAAAGCAAGGAAGCAAAGCCTTGCTGAAAATGAATAAAGAATTTTTTTTTTTACAATCTAGAAGTGGTCCAGAGATAGCTTTACTAAGGTGATGATTTTCAAAGCCATTATGAATATCAGTTTACATGATAAGGAATAAAAACAAATACATCTGCCCCCCTACCTACCTACTATCATCTATTGAACTTACCCACATACGCATTAAGTAACCAAGCTGGTTTATCAATTCATGATGGAATATTTATAAGAAAAATTTCTGGCCAGTGTTTTAAAGACACAGTTTGTCCCAACTCTTTAATTTGCAGCTATCAACTCTGATAGAATGATTCTTCCTGTATCTAAGGACCTATCCAATAGTAATATAATCATTCACCAATTTCAACAAGAAATTGCAGCTAAAGATTCAATTTGCTTAGTATTTTTACTGAAACCATAAGGAAAGAATATTCTTACCAGTTGCCTTTTGGAGTTATGAACTGCTGTACCGCATAGCCGAACTGCTCACTTGAAGAACCAGAGAATATTTTTGCTTCAGGGACACCAACATTGTATGCCAGACAATTCAAAATGCCTAGTGAGAAAAAAAAATGAAAGCATAAAATATATGTACAACTTGTGAATAGAAGCACGCAGTAAGTTTCAGAAGGCTGTTTTTCCAAAAAGCTTGTTGGACCTAATAATTATTCTTGTCAGTATTTACACAAGTGGTAGTAACTTCCGCTTTCAAAATTTAGTCTGCATTGTTTAGATTGGAGATGGACGACACGCACCATGGCGGTCTCATCGCAGTGTGTCACCCAGAGATGTTGTCGTCCACTGACACTCTAATATTTGCGTAACGACAGAATCACCCAACAGCAGGTTTGCTCAGAACCCAAGTGAACCCCTTTTGTTTAGGGGTATGTGCAATTATTTGTTTGAGTCCTCACACCACGCCTGGCCACCTCATAAGATAATCACTACTGTTATGTTTGGCTTTTGCAGATACCGGAGATTCGAGGAGGCAAGTGGGTATCATAGTGGAGAGCGGTAAGGTTAAAGGCAGGATCTGAGCACAGGACTGATAGACTCAAGAGCCTGATCTTGTGCATGCTGTATTACCTCTCAGAATTCGGCCAGTAATGAGAGTTCCATTTGTCCCCGCTATAGGACACTAAGCTTCCCAAGCACAAGGGCTAAAGGCTATTCTCCACTTCAAGATCTGAAAGCAAACTTTGTATGAAATGTGCTGAGAGCACTGCTGACTGCATCAGGGAAATGCAAAGTCCCTACTTTCTCACTGTGTCATTTCACTCATGTTTGAAGTAGTGAAAGGTTCCATATCCTTCTCATTCCAGGAAGAACTATGCAAAGTGGTTATGCTTTTTGAGGCCTCTTTGCATGTGAGGAGGAAATGATAATTATTTTAAAAACAGAACAAGGACCAATGAGGTCCTTTTTTTTTTTTCTTGGAAATTCTTGTTCTGCTGCAAGAGGGAAAGAAAAACACTGATTCCCATTATTGGTGATGGGCATGCTTGTTACAGAAACAGGATTGTGTACATCTCAGTACTCTCATGGAAAAGTGAATACACCCCACCCTGCCCAGGATCTGTATTTATTTCCACAGACACTGATAAATGGACTCTTACAAAATGACATGGAAGTTTCATTAATACACATCTCAACTCAATGTCCTGTTTTCTGAATAACAATGAAAGTACACAGTGTTTCTGTGTCTATTGTTTTCAGGCACTGAGGGCCTGAAAGAAAATGGCAGATTCTTTTTCAGTGCCTCCAAATTTCTGGGGGAAAATCATGCAGAATGCTCCCAAGGAATAATGAACTCAGTGGTGTAACTTTTTGGGGCCCAGAGTAGTTAAATTGGCTCTGAAAGTGCCAAAAATATCCTCCTGGGGATTTATTCACTCCAGAATGTTCAGTTCATTATTTCTTAGAAATAGGCCCTGCTAGAAAGAGAAACAGAAACACTGATTTTGAAATACTCCGTGGCAAAATCTCCACAGCTCAACATTTGCAAATTTTCTCTTTGCCATCTATTTTTCCACTATTGCTCCCTCTTATTCTTGAGACAATAAAGTACAAATAAAAAAAAATATGGCAAATCAAGCAAAAAACCAGAATTGGCATTCGAAATACTGGCAATTCCAAGCTTACAAAAAGAAGAAACACAAATAAGTGCATCATAATATAATAAGCAAAATGCAGAGAGATATAAAGGATCCTTAGCAAAACTGATAACAGGGCAAATCTGAATCTCCTGGCATCATAACGGAAGTGGCAATGACTCCAGATTTTGATGGACAAGCTGGCGTTCACGACATAAGACAGCACAACTCAATTCCAGACAGAGGTGTGAAAGGGCAGAGCAGGGGATGCTGGGACGTTTCACAGAAGGAGCTACAGATAACTTTATTAGTGAACGCATTTCCAGTTCTATATGTGATGCGATGAGTCTTGACCTGAGGTTACCTGTCTTTCTGGGAGCACATTCCTACCCAGAGTGTAAGTCTCCTTTCTTTGTGTTCATTTCAGTGTTTGCAAATTCAAAGTATTTGTCAAAGTTGACCACGTTATACATTTGTTGAGAGAAACCAACCAAGCCATAGTATTCCAGGAACTCTAAAACTTACTGCAAACATTAAGTATCCTGTCTCCTAGAGAGGTGATCACTTTCCTCTATTTCACATTAAGAAGGAAGTGGTTTTATTCTTGATTTTTCCCTGTCTTGTTCCCATTACAATACCCATAGGTAAACTGGGAAGTTGAATGCAAATTAATGTAGCCAATTTCCGGTTTTTTTACTCATTTAAAAATTTTGTAGAGCCTTTTAATCTGAATATTTCTGACCTTCCTTCAAATGGATGTTCTTGAAGGTCTTAATCACTCAAGAATTAGTTTCAATAAATTTATTCTACAATGCAATTTTAAGTTATAATTCAAAATAGGAATATTGTTGAGGATCAAATATGGCCAAATTTTGTCCTCAAGATTCAGTATATCCCCCCCAATCTCTTGAATACAAGAACACTAATATGTAAACATAACACTGTGTCATCTCATATTCAACAACAATATTTTACCAAAGTCATATACCGATTTCTGTGATCCCAGGTTTAAAATTTCAGAATACCCACAAGTATTTGTAGTTTAGACTGGCAGAGAGTCCAATCCCTGTGGTCAATTAAAATTTAAACATGCCTACATGTGACAAAATAGCATTGGGACAGGTTTTCTCCAGAGGGCTTCTTCTGCAGCGAAGACCATGGGGAGAGAAAGGGCGAAATGCCGGATGAGATAGGATGGCCGAAAGCAAGAGGTGGGTGTGAGAAGAGGGGAGACATTTTGACATTGGACTCTGATTGCACACTGGCCCATTCTTGTAGACACAGGCTAGCTTTTTAAGAGTAGATACTTCATGTCACACACCAGTAAGGTTTTAACAGCTGGAAGGCCTATACCTACACTCCTTGAGCAGAGTGTCAATCCTTCAAGGAGGTGGCACATTTTTTCCTGCACCTGGGGACTGATCCTCAACAGCTGCAGAAGCATTGACAGGGACAGACAGGGGACAATGGTTTGTGCATCGAGACTTCTTAGCCAAGCCTAGAGCAGCAGGAATGTTCGGCAGTGGTCAGGACACAGGGGCGCTGTCCGAGGCAGCAAGAGGCCAGGATACCCATGGTCTAGATTTGAGAGAAAGCTATTTACAATGAATGAAAACCAACCCTTTAGGGACCTGGGACTGTTTCACAAATGGGTGACTAAGAAATACTACTGTGTTCACTGTGATTTTGTATTTTATGTCACCTTTGGTCTCAGGTGGTTTAAAAACTACATTACACATACCAAGCAGTATTTAATTATTTCTAACAATCCAAGTATATTGTTGTATTAAATATTCATTAAAATGCTGAATGTGTAACAGGGAAATAAGTAAATTATATAAAGTAGATGTAATTTTATACTGACACTAAAATTTTATTCTGATAGGCAGGTAAGATAGGATAAAATACTTTAGGAAAACAAAATACAGAAATAATATCCAGAATAGGAGAAAAATACAGTCTGTGAATATGACTATAGCAAGCATTATAACAGTGGGTGTAATCTGCTGCTTTCAAATGCCCGTTAGTGAATTGTGATTTTCTTACACCATACAAAAATTAAGGTAAAATTAAGTGAAAATGAAAATCCCTTTTTTCACTGTAGACTAGCAGAATTTTGAATGTGAGCTATCTTACTTCAGCCTTACTTACAGTGCCTAATTGTATCCCACCATAGACATTATTTATAATATATAAGAGAGACTTTGGCCCACTGGGATGGATTCAACTTAATTTCATTCACTAGGCATGTACTAAAAATTATATCTTTACATTTGTGCCTGTAGATTAAAAATATTATAATATGCATGTCTATATTTTCAATGTGTTAGGTGGCCATATGTCACTTCAGTTCCATGGGATTTTACACTGCAGCTTTTGTGTGAACTTGTTCACAGCCACTAATGATCTCTGGTTTTTTCCATGATTTATGCTTTTAACTCTCCATTCATAACTGAATACAACATCCATGAGTTTATATACACAAGCATTTTATTTTCCCCACATACTTGTTTTATTCATTCAACAGATGATTAGATTAAGTACTTATCAGATGGCAGACGCTGTTCTTGGAGTAGGAATGAGAATTACAGCATCATTCCTTCAACTTGCTCACAAACACTGAATGCAGAGGAGCCATATAAAACATCACAGAGTTGAAATGAGAGACAAAGCTTTCATATCTCTTATCATCTGAACAAGCTCCTTGCCCCTTCATGGCCTCATGTTTTGATCACTAAGCATGAAAATTTATGTTTTACGTTCCTTTCATGTGTAAAGATTTACATATTTAATATTTTGCTTAAGAGAAATTTTGAGGTTATATGGGAACTCTTGTTTTATTCATTGTGGTTTGATAAGTCATGGGCTGATATAAAATTTATATAATATTAACCTTTATTTTTAAAATAAGTTTTAAAAAATAACACCTCACCTAATTTGGATAAGAATTCCTCAAGAATAGACAAATTTCTAAAGCATTTTAAAAATATTTTTTTCTAGAATAATCTTTATGTCATCTGACCAGGCCATTAAATATGCATGACTAACCTTAGTAGAAGCAACATGACCTCCTAGTTAAAGCCAAGTCTTGATGTCTAAAGATGATAAATTAGAACATTAATGTCAAAGTAGATTGTTTATCATTTAAAAATAAAAACAAAAATTTTAAGGTATGATCCACAATTTTCCAGTCAAATCATGCTGCTCTGAGAATTTCATGTTGCTCTCTGATGCCCTTTAACAAAGCCAAATCCATTCCAAGGGAAGTTAGCAGCAAGCTCATCTTGATTTATCCAAGTAAGTCCTGAAGGCCCTCACAAACATTGCCGATTCACAAAAGAAATAAGAAGTAGGAAAACATACTACCACCTCACGGAAACTTTAGTCCACTACTCTGGAACTCCACTTCCATATAAACAGAGCCAACCTTGCACTGCAACTGGGCCAGCCATGGCCTGTGACT